TATCATTAATTTCACAGTGTCTAAAAGGAAAACTTTTGTAGGCAGTGAGAGGAATAGAATGGGATGAGTCCTTTAAAGACCAAATCATCCAAAGAGCTCCATGCATATGTATCCTATAGTCCATGTTTTGGTTTGCAATTTTATTAGAAATTGGAAGAAGCCGCGAACACAAGCAGTAATTGGACGGCAGCTTTGACCAAGCAAACTTTCCACAAAGTGGGTGTCTCTTTTTTCTTTCAAAATTATGAGTAAGTAAATAGGTGAATTGGATAGTTTGATTCATCATATTTAAAAATTAAATAGATTAAATATTTTTTAAAAAAATAATTAAAATAGATCAAACATAAAAAAAAATTAAATCAACTAAATATAAAAATAGTTTGATTGATTTGGTTTTAAATTAATGAATCAAAATTTTATTAGTATCGAAATAAATACAAATGGATCAAGATACAACATTATTGGTCATAGAGACAATCTTAGATAGTTAGTTACAAACATATATTTATTAATGAGACAATTCAATAATATGCTAATTACTTATTTTTTATAAAAAGTTAATAAATTTTATACATATATAACCAAAAACTGTTACAAAACGTGAAATGGAGATATTTCTTTTTTTAAAAAAAATTTTAAAAAAATTTAATAAATATTTTGATTACATAAGTTAAAAATTATATAGAAGTTAAAAAGATTATAGAAATAGAGTTTTTGACCGGATGTGAATAAGTTTTAAATAGAGTTTCATAAGTTAAAAAGATTATAGAAATTTGATTACACTGAAGTTAAAATTGAAAATGAAAAATCAATAGAATGATAGGTTTCGTTAAATGCTCGATATTGAATAATTGTCATTATTATTATTTTTTTATATATAAAATTATATATATTATCATTATCATTCACATATATGAGATTCAATTATTAGTTGTAAGACTGAACAATGGTTTAAGGTCACTCGAAAATCAATGGATTGGACCACAAAATCAAATTTTCGGTCGATTTTAAACTAAATGCAAAATAAGTTAAATATTTGTAAATTGTAAGTCTTAAATCCATAAAAAGAATGTCTTTTTTAAGAACTTGGTCGTTAACTAAAAATAATTACATACTTGGAATGTTTATATTCATTATAAATAATAAAATGAATAACTAAAAAAATTTACCAACAACACTAAACAAAATGTTAAAATTTTAAAACTAGTAAAATCTAACAATAGATGAATTACAATGCAAATTATAACAAGAATATATTGTCACATTCAAGAATTTGATATATTGTTTGATTGCAATTTATATTTATGATAATGATATATTTTTATTTTAATTATTTAATTTTTTACAAAATCATAAGATTTAGAGTAGTCATTAAATTGCATTGAATCTTAAGGATGATCACAAGATCAGTCTTGTCAAAGCATAAATCAATTTGGGTCCAAAACTTTTAAAATAAATGATTCGTGATCCCGATTTTAGAACCACTGGATCAAACAGATGCTCACCTTTAACCAGTTAGAAACTCTATATCACACACACACACATGAATACATCGACTAGTAAAATAATCCGAAGGGATCAAATTCATTCAATCTATTTTTCATTATAAAAAATTGAAATGAAAGAATTGTGAAAAGGAGAGAAGCATATAGAGCACAGACAGGATGAAGCATACTCCATCCCATCTCAATCTTATCTATATGATAAGGTCTTAACATGTGTTGGGAATCAGTTTGTTTGTATTCAGATGACTTCTCTGGTATCTTTGAATGTACAGATTCAACAACCATCACATGTTTAACAAGGCAAAACCCAAGAGGAAAAAGTTAAAATGAGACATCTAGAGGCTTTACAGTAAGAAGCCTTGCCCTACAATATTCTGAACTCATACAATAATTCCATGTGCTTATACAGCTCTGCAGCAGGCAAAATGGTTTCCTTCACAGCAGTTTTGTAGCACATGATAAAATTTACTGATTGGATTTTAGAGATAGGTATAGGAGCTGATGGACATCAAAAGCTACAATAATTGCAGGGCCTGCAAAGAATAATTGGACAGTTTGTTTATTATTTTTTTTTTTTCCATTTCTTTCATGTGAACTTGTATTGGTTTCATTGTTCAAACATGTTTTCTTTTTGTCTGTTAAAGAAAAGCATATCTTTAGTGCCATCTTATTTTTTTTGTCCTTTACAGTATATCCAGACGAGTAAGATTTTATTTTAAAAATCTCGATTATCGAATAAAATTTGTGTAGCATAACTTAATATTATGTGTATTTAACAAAATATACATCTTATTTCTACTTATCTCTTCTAAAACGCTATGTCGGTCCAATTTACATGTCGGGATTTTGTTAATATTATAACCCTGGAATTTTTATTAGGGTTCCAATCCAAATTTCTGCTTAGAATGGGACATATTGAACTCCTTCACTCCCACGTACATGGAACTTTAATCTGTCCATAGCTTCTATATATAATATCTACATGTCTCTTGCTGATTAATACATTCATTTAAGATGGGGACTACGTCTATTCTCTAAGTAACATATCAAATGTTAAATTCCAAATCCTAAGGCTTGATTGCTCTTCTGCTCCTTCAATTCTTGTAGCCTAAGCCAAGACTTTAGAACTTTCCTTTCAATATTAAATGATTTGTTCCAAGGGCTAACTTAAATTCAATGTTAAAAATCATCGGCAAATCAAAAATGATGACGAGATACAAACCGATTCAAATTTAATATTTTGAGATCGAAGAAAATTATCTTTTATAATGTTATCTAAAATTTATTATATATAATTATATAAAAAAGTATCGAAGAATTATTTATAGGGAAAAAAGTACTATTGAAATGAATGCAAATGTAAATGGGAAATTATAATTTATTTCACAAATAAAGATTGCCATTGAATATATCTAAATTTGCTAATGGAGATGAAGGTAATTAGGAGTTACAAGTCAATGGTAAAAGTAATAAAAATACATCAATCATTCTATATACATAGCAGCCCAAGCAAAAGTTTGTGCCTCTTCCAATAAATTGCTAGAGAAAATCATAGAAACCAGGACATATAGGGCTTGGCAATTGCTTAATTGGCTTTGGTTGGGGGGAACCTTTCCAATAAAAATTTTTGTTGGCCTGTGACTTGTCCTAAAGCCTAGTCGAGGTAGTGGGAAAACTATCAAGATTAGAAAAAAAATTGCTTTCTATTTAATCAATTAAGCTTAATTTATATAATCAAATGGACATCTTATAATTAAATTATGAATATTTTAATTCGAAAAGACAATAAAGCTTATGAAATCAACGAATTTTGATGAAGAATATAAACTAGTAATTATAGATTCAAGATTTTGCATGAAGAATAGTTAAAGGGTAATCATACAAAGTCGTGATTAAATGGTTTCAAATTTTATACATATAATAATAAAAAAGAATTAAAAACTCAAGAATAGCAACCACATCATCTTCCCTTCACCACGATAAACCACAATGCTCTCTTTGTATCCAAAAAAGGATTAAAAAGTATAAATCTATATATCTATTTAATCCAACATCATCCAATATGACAACTATACATTTAAAATTTTAAAAAAATTAAAGATTTTAAGTTCAGGATAATGAGTTTTATGAAATAAAAAATAATTCCATAATTGGAATTAAATAAATTTTCATCTGCATACTTAAAAAAAAAAGACCCCATCGGACGCCCTCATCTTTTTCTTTTTGAAAGAAAAATTCTTTCAAATGGAGAGAATTTCATGAAGACAATATATTATAAAGGAATTAGTTAAGTGGAAGCAAGAAAATATAAAACAATACTAATTTTAAATAAATCAAATAATTGTAGAGGAAAGCTTGGTCAAAAAGAGTTACAACATTATTATTATTATAATGACTTATAATTACTAAAGTATGCAGATGCAAACAAAGGGTAAATGATACAATCACTTTCTTTCATTTAATTATTTAAAGAAATAGCACAAGTCAAAAATATTTAATGGCAGAGATATCGATAATGAAATATTATAATGACTCATAACTAAACCATTTTAGACCTCTAATACGATAGTATAAAGTCACTTTCTTTCCTTGTTGCATTATTTAAATGTAAGATAGATATCATTTTCATGACTTCATTTTCTTAAAGACAAGTCTGAAAGAGTTGACTATTAATCCCCTTTTATAAATAGGTGGTTAACTAACAATACGAATTTTTAAACTTATCTTAAAAGGGAGAAAAAATAATAATAAAAACACTATTGTTAGTCATACTTCTAAAATTAATTTTAACGACATTTTGGAATTATTACATATGTGTGTATATATATATATATATATATATATATATGTTCACTAGTATATCTCAATGATTAATTAGTGACATAGCTACTTGGATCATCACATGATCCAAATATAAAAAATATAAAAAATTATCACAAATATATATATGCCTTTTTTAGTAAAACATTTGTTGAAGTTATGATTAAATCAAATTATCCAAAATTGATTGCTAAAACAAAAAATGAAATATCAAAGCTTTTCCAAGAAAGGAAAATCTATAAATCTAAGGAAAACATATATTCTCATTGTTTTTATTAAAAAAAATAAAAATTCGTACTTAATTCTTTAATTAAGAATGCATGTTATGGATTCATATTTTTAATTCAAAAAATATATTTATTAAATAAAAAAAATCTTAATGACTCACCTCATAACTTATTGATATAAGATTTATGATATACACACTTAAATTAAAATAAACTAAACAAACACTAAAATACTTCGATAAAACAAAAATCGACTTAACTCGACTCGGACTCATGGATCAATATTTGATCATTTTGGATCAAATTTGAAAGCCTATGCAAGCCCAATAAAACCCAACTAAACAACCCAATTGTTTAAAATTAGATTAAGCCCAAATGATGTAAGGCCCATTCTAACAACCTAATTTCTTAAAACCATTAAAAATCAAGCCCAATAAGCTCAATACATGAAACGATAAAACCCTTTAATTTTAGGGTTTCATCAAAAGAACAGAGGAAACCGCCGTTGCAGTCCCAGCAGAAGAACAGCGAAAGAAGCGATGGGTAACTAGTCCAAAACCCTTAGAAATGCTGTTTGGCTTACATGTTCTCGTAATTTCTAAGGAAACCAGGGATGGGTTTTTCATGTTTCTAATTTTTGTTTCATGTTTTGTTTGGAAATTCCAATAAAAAAAAAAATTTAACAGCGAGAATCAAGGTCCATGAGTTGAGACAGAAATCAAAAACTGAGCTTTTGGCTCAGTTGAAAGATCTCAAGGCTGAACTTGCTCTTCTTCGCGTTGCTAAAGTTACCGGTGGCGCACCTAACAAGCTTTCCAAGATGTACCTTTCTCTCTCTCTCTCTCTCCCTTTTTCTATTTATCTTTTGTTTTGTTATGAGTTAGCTATGGATCTTACGGTTAAGTTTAATTGGGTGTGGAATTTGTTGTTTTTAGATTATTTGTAGAAAAGGGTATTCATTTATTTCAACTAAGGTTTTGCTTGTTTGATTGCTGCATTTGTTACTTGCTTTTTGCTTCCTAAAAAGTTCCTATGTATGGAAAGTAAATGCTAGAAAGAAAAAAATATAATTGATTAATAATGAATAAATGGATGAAATGAAAGATTTCCTCTGATATAATTGTGAAAATTTGTTTTGATAAAAAAGTTACTTAATAGTTTTTGAAGGATTCAAAATAAGAAATTAATTTTCATGAACAACAAACTACATTATTTTACTTTTATATGTGACAATTAAGTTTCAATTGATGTTTATTTTAGCTATTTGCTCCTTTTTTTTTACTTAAATATGATCATTTAGCTACTTTTTAAGAAGCAAGAAGAAAGTAGCGAAAGCGAACGTGAAATGGTTTGATGGCAAGTTAGGCTTTTTAAGAGCAAGTTAGGACATATGTATATGTGCGTTTGCAAATTTACATTTGGAGTGCTTTTATATGAGTTTCATTTATGGCTT